GCTGCCCTCCTTATCAGGGTTTTTCAAGTAGACAAAAGGTCAAAGGACCAGACCTGAGCCTTTTCTAGCCGTCTCCCCTGTTAGGGTTTTAAATAGATGGTCTTACCCCTTAAGCTTAGCCAGGTAGTAGGGGTGGGCTGCCCCCCTAAGGGGTTTTTAAGTGGGCGGTCCCCCCTGGGCCCTGCATGTTTCTTTGGCTCATTGTAACACAGCCTTCTGACGATAGCTGTGTTCTTAGCTTGGTTAATGGGATGTCCCTCCTGATTGGCTGGGTTCCCCATTTTTCCGAGTTATGTTAGTGGCCCCAGGCGTCAGTTGCTTTCCCCCTTTCTGAGGGAAGGTTCGGTGTATGTCTGTTGCTTCCCTTGGTTCTCTCTCACCAGGTGAACAGGCATGCGGCATGGCTGAGTGGGCATTCCGTTCCCCATAGTGTCCGCTAGTGGATGCAGCGTGACTTCCCTAGAAGGGGAATGTCTCAGGTTACGCATGTAACCATGGTTCCCCAGGAGAGAACGAGAGACTGCCTAGGGCTTGCCTGTTTTCACGTCTCCTTCAGACAACCAAGTTGGTGACGTGTTCGGCAGGCACCCTCATATACTTCCGGGGGCCCGCCTGTGACGTCACTGGGTACGTGGACCAATGGGATTGGAGTTGTTTCACACGTGCTTCAGACACCGGTCCTGTTGGCGGCAGTCCCCTTAGTGTCCGCTAGAGGACTCAGCGTCTCGTTCCCTCTCTGGGAACCATGGTTACATGTGTAACCCTAGATGTTATTTATTATACATGAGGTGCAGGATTTTGGACCAATAAGTTTCCAGTGTGGGCTCGGCTGTGCAGCACAGTGGCGCTGAAATATTGTTATAGTGTTAATTAAATATAAGCTGAGTTACAGTTATTTTATATATACTAATAATGAGTTCTGTATTGTCCAATTAGATGCTGTTACGTCATTACACGGGGACTAGTTCACTGGTTGTTTATGTTTAGCGTCAGTATGCTCGCAGGCTCCGGTGCAGATGGTTGTAGTCAAACCCATCAGCACTGGGCAAGAGCATAAACCCCGCTGTTGTAAAGTTATGCTTTACTAAGTGAAGTTCCTGCAACGGATTATCTTTGTTGTGTGCTTCTCTTTTTTACATTACATTTTACATTACAGACGAGAGAACAACAATATAAACCAAGTGACAGATGAACCCATTCTCATTTGTTGATGTTGAGGATGCTTAGAATATTAGCATGATTAGCATTACAATTGATTATTTTGCCTAAATAATGCCAGATAGTGGTAGTTTATTTGGTAAACCTGTTTGGAAACAGTCATTAAAGGCATAGTTCAAACCTGTGTGACTTTGTTTCTTCTGTGGAACACAAAAGAAGAGAAAGAGAGTTGTTTGGTCTGTGACCTGTTAACATGTTCCAGATTTGGAAAAAGGGGATGTAGTCATGGTGACAGGCTTCATCATGGAGCCTCCAGGGTTAAACCCACATGGGCTAAATTATCATGGCACCAGCAGAGGAGGGTGACAAGGCCACAGATCCCCCAACTCACATACAACAAGCAAAATGAGAAACATGTCATGAACTCACACTCACACACCGTCGTCACTAGTGTCACAAAATAATTGTACCACACATGGAATCAACGTGTAGCCTGTGATCAAATGCAATATGTTTTTTTTTTTCTTATTTACTGTTTTCTTCTTCTTTTTCAAAACTTTCCAAACTAGCCTCTCATAGCCCATAAAATGGAAGTCATAACCATGTGGGTGCGGCTCATTCATCACAAATAGGGCATCACAAGACCAATGTGCACAAAACATGTTAGTCACACCACCTCAAACAGTACGAGCATCACATACGGTTCCTGTATGAGGAACAGCAAAGTTTGGTACTGACCCTGTTCTCTGAAGTAGAAGCTTTGGAAAGGAAGTAGAAGGAAAAATTAAAGAAATTAATTTTGAAATAAATTAAAATTCTTATTCATCAAGGATCAAAAGTCACAGTAAAGCCATTTGAAATATTACAAAATATTTTTTTCTAATAAATGCTGTTCTTTTAATTTTCTTTCGCAAAAATTTTAAGCAGAAAAAGTTTTTTCAAAGTTGATAAGATAAGAAATGTTTCTTGTGAAACAAATCAGCATATTGGAATCATGTGACACTCAATACTGGAGTAATGGCTACTGAAAATTCAGCTTTGTCATTACAGGAACAAATTACATTTTTCTATATATTTATTTATTTATATAAAACAAAAATTTCACAATAGTACAGTTTTTACTGTATTTCCAATCAATTAAATGCAGCCTTGGTGAGCATGAGAGACTTTCATAAACAACGAAATATCTTATCTACCCCAAACCTTTGAACAGTACTGTATGGACTGTTCTAACCTAGTTCTCACATGATCTCACATGATATCTTCATTCCTACATCCTCCACTGTCAGTCCCATGATTCTGCAGGTCAGGCGATGAATGAATGACCCAGCAGATGAACAGCAAATAAAACTTGCAGGTCCATTAGTAACATTTGTTATGTTTCAATTTTTTTGTTATTCTTAAGTTATATTTCTGGGCATTTTCTGCCTTTATTAAATAGGACAGTTAAGTAAAGACAGGAAGTCATCAGAAGTGCTGCCCATAAAGCTTTATCTCTTTTAGCTCTTAATTTTATTAAACCAAATAAACCATCAGTCTCACAAATGTGAATCATCTTTTCTAATTGAAAATGCATTAAATGCACCGGTAGTTTAAAAATAACAGTATAAATGTCTTTAGTGAGCCATAATTCATAGAAATCTGACATGACTCGCCCCATCTATTACTCTCACTGTGGTATTCAACGAAGAAGGGAGTTTCATGGTCTGTAAAATGAAACGCACTGAATGAGTTTATTGTTTCACTGACTCCTACCCATTTAAACTAATGTCACATTAGGGTGATATAGAATCAGAATTTGGGAACAGTGAATGGCTTTAGTCTCTATCCACATCACGTTGAAAAGGATTTCCCAGCGTCATGAAGCAATATATTATTTCATGAGAGAGTAGGCTGATATTTTAGGGGTGATACACTTCTGATGACACTGTAAATAATAGACTGACAGGCTCATTTTTTGGCTTACACTGGTCTTGGTTTTTAATCGAATGCAATCATGCCATTTTCATGCTTTCTGGATGCACTCGGTCCAGCTTTACTTAGTCAATCTGAAATCCATCTGAAAAAATACCATTGCACAGATGTATTCAAACACAGTGCTTTTGGATGTGCGTGTTTGTGCTGCTTCGAATGGAAACTGCATCTTACATTTCATTCCTATGTTGTGAAATGCATTTAATCAAACACACTTGAGGAACCTGTACATTTTTCCCATGTTATACACTAGGTTTCATTAAAACTTTCGATTAAGAGTTATTGTCTCAGTGTAATTAGATGATTACTGTTGCAACAGAAACATATGAACCAGCCCTTGTAAACTCAGATTGAGATGTAGTCTCATTTCTCAACACATGCATGAAGTTGCAGAGACATGACATTCATTTGTGATTTACCAACTCTCTGGGTTTTAAAAAAAGGACGCAAGACCACAAAAAGATGCTCCGTGGCCAGTTCCCTCTTTAAAGTTTAACAGCACTTGTTACTCTCACCCGTCTGTTATGAGGGGGCTTTGTAGTAAGGAAGGTTTCCGCCTGGGGAAGCTCATTTATGGGGCTTTAGAGTTAGCACATAGCCTTTAGCTAAAGGACTGGCCTTCATTATCCATCCCAGCAGCCATTATCAGACTTCTTCTAATGAACTACGCCATATGGACACAGTTACAGCCAACGAGAAAGAGAGATGATTAGTGAAATTTTACTATTTGTTTGCGAATGAAGATTCCAGTGTTTAGACTTTGTTCAGCAGAGCAGAAAAACAACAAAAGATATAAATCAGAGAAAATGACTTTATAAATACTTGTTTTTTAAGAGCTGGCAGACCTTTGACTGTATGTAGGGCAAATTGCAATTATATAAATACACTGGTAACACTTTGCATTAAGGTTTCAATGTTAACAATAGCTAATATGACAGCTAATGCAAAAGAATAATGAGCTATAATTTTACATCATAAACTGGTTTTTGAGACATGTTTGGTGTGAATTGCCCCCAAGTCATATAAATTAACATTAGCACTCTAGAATACTTCCTTCTGATTGGTTAAGCGTGATATTTGGTGGTCAGTAGAGATGGGTCATTCATGAACGACACGATCATTTTGCCTCTGTCACTTCACAAATAAAGGTGAACTATTATTTTTTTCACATATTTTATCTTTGGCTGCATTATATTTCCTAATACAAATATGAAAATATACAATTTTTAAACTAATAAATGAAATGACTTTGATACACATTAGTGCATTTTGCTCCACACAATTCAAAGTTATGTTAGTAAAATGATCTGATATTTACATCACTGGTCAGATATTGCATATTATCATCATCTTTTGCAGCGCTGTATATCATGCTGCTCACATTCACGTATCATACAAACGAAACTGGTGCCATTTTGCATCGCAACTATTTACTGTAGTGAAAATGACCTTTGATGACTTTAGTATAAATATTACTGTAATATTGTTGCAGTGATCATCTTGTTGCTAGGGCAATTGTTTTGTCCATTGCAGTTGCAGAAGCTTTAAGAAAATATGCAGGTAAACGTATAATATAATTTTGACTCAAGTCAATATTTCATGGCCAAGTTTTTATTGATTTACTGAGTGACCATGTAATACATGTAATACTAGTTTATTTGTTGGTGGTATAACAGCAGTGAGACTGTCCAGACAGGCCCCACACTCCTCCCTCCAGCATGTAAGACGGCACAGTGTTAATTGTGGTGGGTTTTTCCTGTATGAGACACTGGGGGTAGAGCTCTATTCTGTTTTACTGAGCACTTACAGATGTCCCTTAAGCTTTTGATGTCTTCATGTTTTTCCTTTTCTTCTCTCTCTGGCTCTAGTTGTCAGTTGGTTTACGGTTTTCTGTACAGAGGCTGGAAGATGCCCCTCCTTCCATTGGCTTTGAGCTGCAGATACACAGGTACAGTAAATATTCCCCTTCATTTCACCTGTTTGCAAATTACAGATCTGCAAGTTGCTTCTTTGGTCTTCAAGTAAGCATAATGTATTCTCACTGAGATTATCTTTGACTCACACACACACACACACACACAATCATACACATTTCTGGCCAAATCATTGTCAACACCAAAGTCCTTACGTTCCCACTGGTCATAAAGTTATAAAGTAAATAAGTATGTGTGTCTGAGAAGCTGAACACATTGCCGGCTAACATTTCTGGTACCTTAACTTGTAATTTAATTTAAAGACCTCTTGCACTACTCGTGTGTGTGTGTGTGTGTGTGTGTGTGTGTGTGTGTGTGTGTGTGTGTGCGCGCGCGTGTGTGTGTGGTGTGCGCGCGTGTGTGTGTGTGTGCGGGTGTGAACATGGTAAGTGGTGTGTGTCACTTTGATGTATGTTTTAGGGGGTCATTTTGTAAGCAAGGGCCCCAAATGTTGGTCGTTATAGAGTCAGGGCTTCAGAACAGGAAGCTGAGTGTTGATAAGATGTCCTTGGATGGGTCACAGAAAATGGATGGCTTATCTAAAGAGACTCTGTTTGTCTATGTGTGGGTGTATGTAGAGAAAAATGACAATTTTGGAAAATATTGGGGGAGTAGGTTCTCTGGTTTTTGGTTAGCTGTTTTGCCATTATTAGTGATGGGTCATAATGGTCAAATAGCCAACTAGTTGAGTAATGAGTTTGTCTTATTTTATATATGAGCAGTATCACACAAGTAGCTGTGTGATATCACTCTATATCAGCATGGCTGTGATTCAGCTATAGGCACAAGGCTGCATATATTTTATAATATAAATTCTATTTTATAATATAAATGATAAAAAATCTTTCTTAAGAACATGTAACCTGACTTATCGATTTTGAAGTTTTGCATATCATTGCATTGTGTTTTTAGCAGAACTCCCCACTTGGTTTGCATGTCCTTGGTCATGTTCTGTTAAGCTCAGGGGTGAAGTGTATTTGTTATAATAACACTCCTCACTGTGATGTTACTCACACATGTTTAATGTGCACATGTTAGTTTTGGGGTGTAGAGATGACTGCCAGGCTGCTCTCAGAGGAGGGATATTTCCCTAAGGGTTTAATCACTGAACCCTAAAGTCTCTCCATAACTCAGAGCAAGGTTAGGTCAAACAGGAGGGCGAGTCTAAGGGTGTGTAGGTGTGTTTGCCTGCACATGTGAGCGTGCACATGTAATATGTTTGCACTTAAGTGTGTGCAGTATGAATGCATTTGTGGTGTGTGTCTTATCTGTTTCGGCATGTGCATCTCTGGAGAATAGAAAAATTTTCTGCTGACTAATGTTGGCCACATGTTCCTCTGCCCACTCTGATTTTTCAACTTGAGACAGAATAAGAGTGAGAGACAAAGGAGGGGGGGGG